CCCTACTATGTTGTGCATCTTTTTAGGAACCCTCTTCTTTTGAAATGTTGAGAGACGAGATTCTCAAGAAGTTGAATCCTGAGACCAATATAGCATTCTGGGCTTTTTCTGCATTCTCCCGTATCTAATAATGTTGATTGTACTGGTGATTTTGAAACTGAAAAATTAATAGTCAGCTGAGCCTTTTGTGTAGTGTGTGCACACACGCCCGCAGTCTGTTGTTAAAAAAAAACAAACCTTTCAGGTGAGGGGAGCTAAAACCTGCCCTTTTCCATTGGAGAACTGTCTGGTCCTGAAGACCTTGGGGTTCGTTTATGTAGATAAACGCAGTCACTCAGCAAAATAAATTCTGGACACGAGATTTAAAAAAGAGAAGACTACCGGATTTAATTGAATGAAATCAATTGAAGTTGAAGGGATGTATGCAAAGCAGGAAAATATCCAGTTATAATAAGCAGTGGCAAAACAATCAGTAAAAAGCCAGGTGACAGGATCAATGAAAACAATAACTCACTTCTGTGAGGCCAGTTCTTAAGAAAAGTCCGTTATCCGGTTGGAGAGAATCAGAATCGTTCCAACACAGAGTGTAGCCATCCCCACCCTGCGAAGCCTAATGAGAGTGAATGGCAACAGTGGCTTCCGTAATGCGGCCAGCTGATAAGAATTCAACTCCCTAATTAACCCTTCTGGCTTGTAAAAGGATTAGGGAGGTTTACAAGGATGATTCTCCACCATAACAAAATCTTGCAGCCGAATATAATTATGCTGCAAGTAGATTGCTTCCAGTGACATGCAAGGCTAGGCCCTTATAAACCTAAACAACCTCTTTTCCTTACAGGGACCCAAACCTGTACCTTGCTTTGTTTCCTTTAGCATTTTTTCTCTCAGCCATGAAGTCAGAAGGACTGGGAGAAAAATGCTTAAATGTGTTCACTATTTGTAAAGTGTGTGTGTATGACCTACAAACACTGAACTTGTAGCTGTCAAGGTGGTTTACAGCATAAAAAGAAGCAATTAAACAACTGGAGTAAAAGCCAGCACTGAAAAAGAAAGACAGCCTAAAAAAGCACTGGGGCGCATCAGAGCAAGGCGTTGGAGCAGGGTATGGCTCTTCTTGCCCATGTGCTCAGATTATTTCACACACACACCCCCCCGTGTCCTTTATACAGGTGGGTGTCTCGATATGCTCTTAAAATGGGCAGAGAGGTACTCTCCTATCTGCTAAAATTTGCCAGGGAAAATTCCGTGGCGAAGGAATCCTAGTGGGTAGAAGCAAAAGGTAGACCGAAGTATTTAATTGAAGCCAATGGAAAGGAATAAAATAATTAATAATAGCCCAGGCTAGTCTGATGCCATCAGATCTTGGAAGCTAAGCAGGGTCGGCCCTGGTTAGCACTTGGATGAGAGACCCACCAAGGAAGTCCAGGGTCGCTACGCAGAGGCGGGCAATGGCAAACCACCTCTGAACTTCTCTTGCCTTGAAAACCCCATGAGGTCGCCATACGTTGGCTGCGACTTGATGGCCCTCTCTACCACCGCAATAATGAAAATCTGGAGCCTGTTTCAATGAGTTGGGCTTTTGCTGGTGGCGGCGGAAGGTCCTTTTCTGTTGCTTTCAAATCATATAATTGCAAACAGCATTTGCTGAATGGCCGTAACAATAAAACTGAGCTGAACAGCTCTAGCTCCAGCCTATCCACCCGCAAACAAGTAGATTGTGAAACTCAAGCCAGCTGGGGCGTGGCGTGGGCCACATCTGCCAAAGAAACGCCTGTGTGTTAAACACTTAATTCTGTTTGTCTTTGCAGTGAAATGCAGGCTCTGGAGCCAGTCTGTATTACTCTCGGAGACCAGCAGACTCTGTGGGTCTTAGACATCTACGGGAACCTGTGGTTCAGAACGGGCGTCGCCTCAAAGAAACCGCAAGGGGATGATAGCCACTGGTGGCAAGTAGGCATTCCTCCTTCTTCTTCTTTCAGTGTATGTGGAAGGGCCCGTAGCTCAACGACAGAGCACGTCTTTTGCACACAAGGTTCCAGGCATCATCTCTGGTCAGTGATTTTTGGGAAGGGGAACAGCAAGTCTCCAACAGTTCTCATCATGAGACAGCGGAGGATTGATGCCTGTCAAAGCAGACAATACTGATCTGACTTGGGATCAGGCAGTTCCCCCCCCCCCAAAAAAAAAATTCCAGTTGTTTTTTAAAAAAATACTTTATTTAGTTTTGTATTGTAGAGCCAAAAGCACTTTTATACATATATATTCATGTTTTTGAGGTCTTACATATAATATGTTTTCCCCACCATTTATACATTCTCATTCACTTTCTTTGGAATATCATTTCATCTTTGCCACGTAATAACATTGTTCGTTTATCTAGTTCTGCTATTTCCAGCAATTTCTTTGCTATTTCAATTCTAGAGGGTAGTTTTCCGTTTTCCAGCATTTCGCTACCATTATTCTTGCTGAGGTTAAGAAATTTCCAGTTTTTATTGATAAGATAAACAAGAAAAAGCAGGAAAAAGAAACAGGAAAACATGCATAAAATAGAAAAAGACTTCCGATTTTCTCTACAACAAATAAAAGTTTGATTACAAAGTTTTACCTTTCTATATATGAAGAGTAATAAAAGTACTTTATTTAGTTTTGTATTGTATAGCCAAAAGCACTTTTATACATATATATTCATGTTTTTGAGGTCTTACATATAATATGTTTTCCCCACCATTTATACATTCTCATACACTTTCTTTGGAATATCATTTCATCTTTGCCACGTAATAACATTGTTCGTTTATCTAGTTCTGCTATTTCCAGCAATTTCTTTGCTATTTCAATTCTAGAGGGTAGTTTTCCGTTTTCCAGCATTTCGCTACCATTATTCTTGCTGAGGTTAAGAAATTTCCAGTTTTTATTGATAAGATAAACAAGAAAAAGCAGGAAAAAGAAACAGGAAAACATGCATAAAATAGAAAAAGACTTCCGATTTTCTCTACAACAAATAAAAGTTTGATTACAAAGTTTTACCTTTCTATATATGAAGAGTAAAGATCTCTCTCTTTTTTGTATCCTAATATCTTAATCATCAAAACCACAAACCATCAAATCATTCTTACCTTTTTCCTGCAAAAAGTCTAATAAGGGGTTTCTAGTCCATAATAAATGAATTGTCTTTTCCCTAACCAATGAAGTGAGTTTAGCCATTGCTGCAAGGTCCAACATCTTCTCCAACCATTCTTCTATTGTAGGTATTGTTGGACACTTCCATTTGCGATCAGGCAGTTTCCTATGTGAATAAAAAAAGATGTATCACTAAGGGGGGTATTTTTTTTGTAAAAGAATGGGAAGTTGTCACATGCATAGCTTTAAAGGTAACCACTTTACATATTGCAAACACACTTGGTTCCCAGTGAAGGTGTTCCTGGGCCTAGGGCTACTGCCTTTATAAACTGGTTCACAGAGTCCCTTCCTTCCTCCTCCTCATGAAAGCTTCCAAAACAAAGCAGAGAGATCAAAGCTCTATGGGAATTCTTAGATGACTGGAAGAAAGCCTCAACTTTTTCAGCCTCCAGTATCAGTGTGTCCACAAAACATCCAGATTGTTTTCTTCAGCCACGTCTCCAGCTGAAGAATGAAATGAATGTTTTTCTCTTTCTTATGTAGAACAGCAGTGATGTTACCTGGTTTTCCTGTCAAAGGTTCTTTGCCCCTCACCTGTTTTGCATATTCTCTTTCAAAGGAAGCCACTAGGTGTACTTTGACTGCGACATCCAGTCCTGTCAGAGGAACTGCAGTGCCTCTTTGATTTGTTAATTTGAGAGCCAGTTTGGTGTAGTGGTTAAGTGCACGGACTCTAATCTGGGAGAACCGGGTTTGATTCTCCACTCCTCCACTTGCAGCTGCTGGATGACCTTGGGCAAGCCATAGTTCTGTCAGAGCTGTCCTTGAATAAGAGCAGTTCTGGAAAGAGCTCTCTCAGCCCCACCTACCTCACAGGGTGTCTGTTATGGGGAGGGGAAGGGAAAGGAGTTTGTAAGCCACTCTGAGTGAAGGGTAGGGTATAAATTCAGTCTCTTCTTCTTTTTAATCTGTCCCTGCTTTTCTGGGATAGTCCAGACTGAGTTTTGCATTAACGTATGAAATTGTTCATTGCGGAGCTCTGGCAGTTGTTTTTTCCCCATGCCCTTAGTTCTGAAAGGTAAAGCTCAGGAAGCATGCAGGATTCATTATTGCAAGAATTGCCTGAAAAATTGGGGAGGGGCTCTGGCTCTGTGGAAGAGCCTCTGCGTTTGCATGGACAGGGTCCCGGTTCCAGGTTCAATCCCTGGCATCTCCGGTTAAAAGGATTTGGTAGTTGGTGATGTGAAAGACCTGTGCCTGAGACCCTGGAGAGCGGCTGCCAGGCTAAGTAGGCAATACTGACTTCGATGGACAAAAGGTCAGACTCAGTATAAGGCAGCTTCATGTGTGTTCAGGTCTCCTGTTTTTCATGAAGTTGCCAGAGTGTAGTACCATGCACCCAAAAGGAAGCTCCCCATTCCTGTCAATTTCAACCAGAGAGTTAAACCTGTGGCTAACTAGCTGAACTAAAAATCAGGCCTGTGTACTGTATGTTTTCTTGTCTCTAACAGCTGGAAGGGGTGGTTGCTTCAAACAGAGGCCTGGCAGGTGCCTTGTCTGATCCTTGATCCCGCCAGATAGTTCTTGTGTCTTCTTGAATTAAGCTGGTCATCTTGTATTCTTTCCCCCTACTAGGTAAGCATTACAGATTATGTAGTGTTTGACCAGAGCAGCCTTTTCCAGTCCATAATCCAGGCAACGCAAACTGTAGCCACGGCCGCTCAGGCTCCCGTTGAGAAGGTAGCCGACAAACTCCGCACAGCTTTCTGGTCGCAGCAGCTGCAGTGTCAGCCAAGCCTGCTCGCAGTCAACAGCAGCGGCGTCTGGATCTCCTCTGGCAAGAATGAGTTTCATGTAGCTAAGGGAAGCCTGATAGGTACGTGCAATTGAGTTGCTAGAATGTTTGCAGTGCTGAAGCTGTCCCAGTTGAGCCTAAGAGCATGGCGATGTCTCTGTGTTCATGCAATATAGAAAATTTGCAGAAACTCCCATTTTGGCCTGTATTTGGAGTGTTAAGACAGTATGTTGGTCACCATTTAGGTATGAGTGCCACAAGTCCAGCACTGTATGACGGTACGAAGTTTGAGTTCAGTGGCACCTTTGAGACAGACAAAGTTTAATTCTGGGTCTTTGTAAGGTTGATGGAGTTCCATACCATGCGGCATAATGTGGTGCCTTCCATGGGGATAGATTCAGGCGGGTAGCTGTGTTGGTCTGAAGCAACAGCACAAAGTTTGAGTCCAGTGGCACCTTTAAGACCAACAAAGTTTTATTCTGGGTCTTTGTAAGGTTGATGGAGTTCCATGCAGCTTAATGCGGCGCCTTCCATGAAGATAGTGCCATTCCTGGGCTCACTATCCTGCATAACTATCCTGTGCTTTGATGAAGTTTTCTTTGAAGCCTATAAGTAGTCACGCAGCAGGGTTTCAGGCAGGAATGTAGGACTATGGCCAGACCACAGCCCTCTTCCTGCTGTCCCAGCGTGTCTTAAGCCTGTGCCACTTGCAGTGCTTGTGCTGCAGGTACTGTGTGTGTCTTAAGTGCCGTTAAGTAGCTTCTGATGTATGGGGACCCTATAAATTAATGTCCTTCAACATGTCCTGTCGTTAGCAGCCTGGCTCAGGTCTTGCAAACGGCTTCCTTGATTGAATCCATCCATCTCATGTTGGGTCTTCCTCTTTTCCTGCTGCTTTCAACTTTTTCTAGCACTATTATCTTTTTCAGTGATGTCTTCTTCTAATGTGACCAAAGTATGATAGCCTCAGTGTTGTCATTTTAGCTTCTAGGGAGATGCCATTCATATTTTAAAACCAGTTGCCTTTTGTATTCTGCCTAGGTCAGGGGTGTCAAACATAAGGCCCGGGGGCCGGAACCGGCTCTTACCCGGCCCACAAGCAGCTGGTATGGATGGAAATGTAAGGTCCTCCTTCTTTTATGGTATCCCTTGGAAAAAAGTCTTGGATATGATTAAATACATTTATTGGGGCTTTTGTGGGTTCCCCCGTAAATCAGTTGTTTTCACTTCTAGGAATCAATTGCTTTTGTTTGTATTTTGAGTAAAAAAATAATATTGTTAATGGGGTTTGCCTGTGCCCTTTATAAAGTTTATATCTCCGGTACCTGGCATTACATTTTATGGTACACGGGGGCCAGCCTGACAAAGTGACATTTATGTAAGATCCAGCCCTCATAACAAGTGAGTTTGACACCTCTGGGCTAGGTGGTCTCTCATCCAGGGACTGGTGAGACCCAAGTTTGCTGCATTATGTGTCTTTGGACCATGCTCTGAAATTCTTCCAGAGCTTTTAGAACTATGTCTTATTCTCCCCACCGCCATTTTTCTGAGGAGACTATCTGATCGAAAACATCAGCCTTTTTTTAAAAAAAATAACTTTTTATTGATTTCCCAACAGCTTTAACCATTGAATCATCTTACAGCACAGTATTTTTAAAATAACAATTAAAATTATACAAGAACCATTCTCCAGAATACACATTTTATAACATCCCTTCCCCTCCCCCCCTTCGCAATCTTATGTTATCATTATCTAACACAACCTCAGGGTACCAAGAAGATACAAAGCATCAGCCTTTTAATTGCATGAAAATGAAACGTTTCCGGAGTTGTGTGTTTCTCTTCTTCAGAAGCGAGCTCTTAACCAGCTTTGGTTGGGTCCCCATCTTTGGAGAACAGGACTGGTGAAATCCTGTTGTAGCAGTCATGCCAAAGGAGAGGAGCATGATGCTCCTTTTCCTCCTGACCGGAGAGTTGGTTTCTTCAATAACATCATGCTGTGCTGATTCGTTCCAAGAAATGCCTATGAAAACCCTGTGCTTTTACCATTTGACAGAAGAGGCATTCAGAGCTTAACACAAAATAACTTGTACTGGTGTGGTTCAGGACTTTAGCCTTGGTTGATCTGGCTACTACTGAAATCCAGTAGCCAAGATGCATGGTTGCAATCTAGCTGCTATGCGAAGAACTGCTTTCAAAATCTTAAGGCCCTGTGACTGTTTTAACTTCCATATTTTACCTAATGGTTGCCTCATGAAAGCTTATGCATTCCCCTCCACCTTAAAAGCTTTGTTGCCTCATGAAAGCTTTCAGGTGCCACTGGACTCTGGTGGTGTTGTTTTTCTTATTGAATGCCTGGATATGCCTCCTAGTGGCCAAAGGGGTCACTGCTACTTTCTGTACCTTTATGAGCCATAGATTGATGTTTAAGTCTTTCCACCTATCACAGTGCACACATTTCTACCAATATGCATCTGTTCTGCCTTGAATACCTTAAATCTACAAGTCACAGAGTGCTGGAGTTTGAAGGCACCTTGGAGGTTGTGTAGTCCAAGCCCTTGCTCAGTGGTTCTAATCCTGTGGTCCAAGCCCCACCCAGTAGTTCTAGTCCTGCTCTCTGGAGCAAGAAAGAATGCAAGGAAAACTATAGAGAATTTTGCCTCTTTGTTGAGTGGCACTTTCACCCACTCGTGTCTGTGCAGAGCTGTGTGTTGACATCGTGAGCACTTCCAGAAATACCTCGTTTTTAAAAATTCTTGTGCATTCCCTGGCTGCAGTGAAGACTTATTTGAGGGCACAACTTTACCTGAGCTTGCCATGTTCAGGCATCCCTAAAATGAAGTGTGGGTTGTCTGAGGGTAGTACCCACAAGCCACATTAGCTTCTTATTTCTACTGTTCAAGAGTTGGAAGAACATTAGTTTTGATGGTGTTTTGCCTGTCGTCATTCAGCAGCCTCTCATTTCTGCGAGGCCTGGATGGGATGGGTTTCCGGGAGATTTCATCACCAAGAAATAATTTCCCCCCATCAATAAAATACTCCCAAGCCCTATGCAAACGGATTCTGAATTAATTCCCCAGAGCCTCTGTGCCATGTCTTGATTGAGAGGTGCCTCGACTGTATCAATAACACTGAAAAAAGAAATAAAGGATTCATCTTCTGGGGAAAGGAAGACATTTGGGGGGCATTGTCAGGACATGAGGCAGAAGTTGATCAGTAAGTCACAATGATTGGAATATGTTTCTTGAGGAGCCCAAAGGAGAGCCCTTGAGGAAAATTTAGGTCAGAATTTGCATGGCAGACTATGCGGAACTCTGTGGTGTTGTCTTAGGAAGCAGATCACACACGGAGCTGCCTTATGTCGAATCAGTCCATTGATCTATCAAGGTCAGTGTTTTCTACTCAAACTGGCAGTGGCTCTCCAGGGTCTGAGGCAGGAGGTCTTTCACATCACCTGCTACCAGATCCTTTTAACTGGAGACGCCGGGGATTGAACCTGGGACCTTCTGCGTGCCAGGCAGAGGCTCTTCCACGGAGCCACAGCCCTTGCCTGAATGATCTCCTGTTTGTGCATCTACTTTAGTAGACACGGACATAGTTTGAAACAACCATAAGCAGAGACTTGAGAATCTTCTGTGTTTCTGCTGTATAATTCCAAGGAAAACCCAGGAAATTGCACTAGGATGTGCACGTTTCCTTTGATGGGTTGGGGCCCTGCAATATTCTAAATTAAAAATGCCTGCATGGAGGCTTCATTTGGGGGAGATACTGGTAGGAAATTATCTAAAGGACCTTGGTTGAAGTTATTTTGTTTTATCTGAGTACACAGATGGAGTATATCAGTTGCATCACCAGCCCAATGCTGCTAAGCATGAAATTTTCTAATACGGCAAGAAAAGTACATGCTGGAGGCAGTTATTCAGCTGTAAATGTTTTACATGTGGGCTGTCTTTTCTCCAAATTCCTTATTCGAGGTTCAGTTTAGATTAGGTCTTCAGCCAAATTTCCTGCATTGTGCAAAATCAAGGAGAAACCTGAAATAACCGAAGGGTTTTTTTGACTGTTTTGTCTTTGGAGAGCTATATGAAAAAAAAATGCTGAGCATAGCTGTTCAGATCATTTGGGAGTACATTTCGGAAAGCAAAGCTGGGAATGTGGCCAGTGCGAGGTTCTAAAATTTGTTTTAGAATCTAGCAAATGATCTGTGGGGGAAATGCTGACTTCAGTTTAAACTGATCTTTGTTACCTTTAGTGTTGGAGAACAAAAGATACTGATTCTCTGGTGCAGTGGAGGGTTGCATTCCTACCCAGGCCATTTCCAGGTCACCTAGGTTTATGCTGTTTTTGTGGACAGCTGTATTTTATCAGTAGTCTGTATCTCAGTATTCAGTCTCAGTGTTTTTGTCTGTAAAATGGGAATAATGTTCAGTGATTCACATAACACTTCCCAGCAGTGATTTGTGCATTGGGTTTATCTGCGGGATGTCCACATTCAAATTCTTTACATAGCCTTGAAAGTTGACTGAAGTTCTTAGGGTGCATGTTAAGTTGCATTGGAACCTGTCCTTTGAACAGGGTGCAGCAAAATACAAATAGAACACCACAAAAGTCTCTTTGGTGAATGGTGTTACAAAAAACAAAATGTTCAACACAACATGCATTTTAAGTGACATTAAGTGAGGGGAAGTGTGGAGGCACAGTCATCAGCATTGTAATGGGGAGGGGGTTGTAGCTCAATGGAAGAGCCCCTCTGCATGGCATGCAGAAGGTTGGTCCCAGGTTCAATCCCTGGCATCTCCAGCTAAATGGACCAGGCAGTAGGTGATATGAAAGACCGCTGCCTGAGACCCTGGAGAGCTGCTGTCAGTCTGAGTAGACAGTACTGACCTTGACAGACCGAGGGTCTGATTCAGTATAAGGCAGCTTCGTGTGTGTCTCTTCCAAATCCAGAGTAATTTTCATTACTTAAACCAGGAATGAAAGATGAAATACAGCAAATGTAGAAATCTTGGGGGCACCAAAGGGGGTTTGTATCTAAGCTGGTTGCACCGGGGGTGTCTTTGTGGTTGAAACTATTCCGATTTCTTTCTCCAGGTACGTACTGGAATAACGTTGTGCCTCGTGGCACTGCTTCAGCCACAAAGTGGGCCTTTGTGATGGCTTCTGCCGCTCCGTCCAAAGAAGGTAAAAGTTTGAATGCCTTTGTGCGTCTGAGGTAACTTTATAACCTGAAACTTGGGTTATGCCTTTCGTGTGCACGAATTTACCCATTCAGTAATTACGGTAAACAAAAAGAAATCCTTTCAAGTGCAGAGTTCAGGCAGAAGGTTGGGACATTATACATAACCAAAACGAAGAAAATACTGTCAAGCAACGTGCACGCTCATTGATAGCCTTCACTCTGCTTTGTGACGCCAAGTAATAAAAAAGATTGTTGTTAACTGGCTCTTCAACCATTCATTAATTTAGAAATCATGTTTAAAGTTCCTAAATTATTAAATTATGGCTTGAAAGTTTACAATTTATCAGGACTTCCGGTGGACGGCGACTTGCGAGGGTTGCACCCCATTGAGCTCCGATAGGGGTGAGTCAGATCAGGGCGGCAGGGAGGGGGATCGGCTGGTCCCGACCTCCCCTTACGGTAAACAAAAAGAAATCCTTTCAAGTGCAGAGTTCAGGCAGAAGGTTGGGACATTATACATAACCAAAACGAAGAAAATACTGTCAAGCAACGTGCACGCTCATTGATAGCCTTCACTCTGCTTTGTGACGCCAAGTAATAAAAAAGATTGTTGTTAACTGGCTCTTCAACCATTCATTAATTTAGAAATCATGTTTAAAGTTCCTAAATTATTAAATTATGGTTTGAAAGTTTGCAATTTATCAGGACTTTCGGTGGACGGCGACTTGCGACGGTCGCACCCCATTGAGCTCCAATGGGGGTGAGTCAGATCAGGGCGGCAGGGAGGGGGATCGGCTGGTCCCGACCTCCCCATGAAGCTCTTGAAGGGAGCTTCTAGCCTGGAGCGCCGAAGGGGCCACTCCCAAAGTTTTGGCTTGGGGAAAGTGAGCTCCTTTTTGCTCCAAAAGTTCCCGCTGTTCCAAGGCCAGCAATGGCGCTCAGAGACGTTACCGGACCAGAGCGTACAAGGACTTAACTAAAAAGATTGATCTACATGACAAAGCAATTAAGCGCCGAATGAAACAATGAGTTAAGTTTCAAAGAGAAAGACATATATAAAAAGGGTGGTGGAATAAATATTGGCACAGTGAAATGGCATAGCTCCAAAGGGGAGGGGGGGACTTGCGGAGGAAAAACCCTACCCAGTAGCAAAACTACAACGTAAAGAAGCATGCCGGGCTTAAGCTATTAACCACCCTATTCAGAGCATAACAGCGTTCCGTGCGCCTTGGTGTTTAGTCATGCCGGCCACATGACCACGGAAACGTCTACGAACAGCGCTGGCTCTTCGGCTTTGAAACGGAGATGAGCACCGCAACCCTAGAGTCGGATTCGACTGGCTTTCAAGCAAGGGAACCTTTACCTTTTTTTTGCAGAGCGGAATACATCTGGGCCAATTACCTACAGCACAGAAAAGATTTTAGAACTTTTATGAACTTTTACCAAAGTATAAACAATGTCTCAGCGAGAGGGAAAAATGGCATCCAGAGGCAGAGATTCTGCAGAAAGTATCAGCACAGCATCACCAGTCACAAGACCAGAAAATACCAGCGAGTTAGCCACTGCAATTTCTGAAGCCATGCACCCCCTGCTGGACCAGCTGAGGAACCTCAATCAGAAATTTGATTATTTACAGAAAGAGATCAAAGAAACTACAGCCAAATCAGAAAAGTCAGCCAAAAAGATAAAAAAGGTTAAAATTAAGACCAAAGAAATAGATCAAAGAATGGACATTGTAGAAAAAGAAAGAGCTTCTGAAAAGAAGGAAAAGATTGACTTTTTATTAAAAGCTGAACTCTTTCTTAGACAACAACAAACCCCGCCCAAACAAAGAAATGGAGCAGAGAAAGGGAAGGCAACAGAAAAAAACAGCGAACAACAGAAATCTGATACAGAGAGTCCATCTTCTACAGCTACTTCCGTGTCTTTGGGTGAAATTTTTGACTCTGACTCTGATTTCAACCTAGGAGTCGCTGCTCCCAAATCTTTCAAAGTAAATCTCCCCTGGTAAAGAAGAAGAAAAGTAAAGCTAAGAAGAAACCTAAGTGAAGATCTGAGATGGTTTATGCTGATATTTAATGAACTCATATTATTATCCAGATGTGTTATAATACCAAAAATGCCTATTTGAACACTTTTATTACAATTTAAATAAGTGAACATAATTTCTGTCATGTAGACATATATCAAAAGCATATGAATAACTTATCAAAGTACCTTGTTACTCTCTTTGTAGTTTTTAGTTTTGTAGTGGGTAGTAAGAAAATCAATAAAAAAATTTAAAAATCACAATTTATCTTAAATTGTTCCTCTTTGCCTCCATGAATGACACTGATTTTAGCTGAACATTCTTAATTTCCAGCGTTTTCCTGTTTCTTTAGTAGTTAGGGTAGAATTCACTCCTTAGCAGTTGGGTGTTTTGTTGTTCTTAACTTGTGTTGGGGCTACAAATTTTATTTTAAAGCAGTGCCTGCCATGTTGGAGAATCTGGCTGGCTTTATATGGATTTGCTGGTAGGGTGTCCAATGCTGCCTTGGCAAATGCCAGGAGATTTGGGCAGCACTGTTTGGAGAGGGTAGAGTTTGAGGAGGACGGGATGTCACTTCTGGGTACCACTCTAGGCTGCCTCTCCCTACTGTCTGTGCCCTTTGCCACAGAGGCCAGAGGCAATTCTTAAAGTGTCAGTATATGGAGGCCATTTTTCCCTTGTCCTCAGTTCCTCAGGGTGTAAGATTGGGGATGGGGGCTAGTAATTCCCTACCCTGGTTGGGCGAACAGGAGGCCTATTTGCCAGATATAAGACATATTTATAGTAAATTACCTTCTTTTAAAAAATCTTATAGCATGAGATAAAGACCTTATTTGGTGGATTTTATTTCTACTTAATTTCTAAAGGATATTTAAAATCATAAAATGTGGGTGTCTTACAAATGTTGAGTGACCCACAGTTTGCACTGCCTTTTATTGTCTTTTCGGGCCTTAAAAGAAAGATGAGTTGGCCAGCTTTTACAAAATTGCACGCAGTGTTTTAGAGCAAATACCAGAATAATGACTTTTGTATTCTCATCCCTAACAGCTAAAATGTATGGTATAAGTGGACATGATCTTAGCATATGAAATGGGAAAGGAAGGGTCTTGAAGTAGAAAACTAGCTATTAATAATGGCATGTGGAATATTTATTTTATTTATTATTTTATAAATATTCATACCTTGCCTTTCTGCCCTCATAAGGGCCACTAAAGCAGCTAACAAATGAAAAACATACATTATACATCTTTAAAAACCAATAAAATCAACAAAAACACATCATTAAAACAACTAAAACCAGATCCAAAATGCATACAGAAGCATGTCTTTATGTTTTATGTATTCTAAAACATTGGTCTGTGGCTGTCATGTTTAGTTAGCTAGTGTGGCGTAGTAGCTCAGAGCAATGGACTCTAATTTGGAGAACCAGGTTCAATTCTGCACTCTTCCACATGAAGCCAGCTGGGTGACCTTGGGTCAGTCACAGGTCTTTCAGAGCTCTCTCAGCCCCCGAAATAAGTCTAGCTTGCCACCTAGTGGTGCATGATGCAAAGAACTTAAGGCTGCCAATCTTCAGATCTCTTGGCTATAATACACACAATGCCATATGATAATTATTTAATTAATTAGACCCTTAAACCTGCATCCAGTGAACTGCAAGTGAGTCGACACTCACAGAATAGCTGCCTATTCTGCCCTCCCTACATACCAGAAAAGGCACTCTGTATACCTGGTGACCCTTAGGAATGGTGTGATCTGTGGCTCAGGATTCCTCCAACGGGAAAGTGGGAATCAGCAGAAATTGTCCGGAAAGGGGGAATCAGCAGAAATTGTCCTCTCTCTCATGCACACACGCACACATGTCCAAGCAAAAATGCCCTTCTCACTTGCAAAAACAGGTTTGGAGTCAAGCCTTAGTTGGGTAATTTGAGCGTTATTCTTTTATTAGAATTCCTTTGCATCACAAAGAGTGGTGTTGTCTTCTGATCTGCTGTTCATACCTTCTCCAAAAAGCTATTTCTGTTTTATTTGTGCTGCAGCTGCTTGACGCTTAGATAGCAACTTTTTTTTTTTAAGAATTATGCCTGATTATAGAATCTAGTGCCTAAAGTAGTTCGCATCTCACCTGAGACACGAACTCGCTGTCTTTCAGTCTCTGTATCTGTAAAATGGCCATAATAATGGTCTGCCTTGCAGGGCTGCTTTATGATTTACTGAGATACTGTGAGTGAGATGATTCGAGTGTCCTTTATAAGTAGTAATATTGTTGATGACATTATTAAAGCAAGGATTTTTTAAAAATGTAAATAGATGTACTCAGAATATTGTTTTGGTTGTTTTTTAAATAAATGCACAAGTCTTATTAGTGGCCTTGCAAGATGCTGATCTCTAGAAAAACAGATTTAACAGCTGAGGCTTTGCCCTTCCCCACAGGAAGCTTTCTGTGGCTGCGGCAGAATAACAAGGACCTGTTTTGTGTCAGCGATCAGAACCCGCAGTTCCACCCTTCAACTGTTCAGCTCCCCCTCGATGCTGAGATGGTGCATTATTCTGCTTGTCAGGATGCCATTTGGGGCTTGGATTATCTGGGACAGGTCTTCATAAGGACGCTTTCACCGACTTGCCCGACTGGGATGCACTGGACCAAACTGGACCTTTCTCAGCTAGGTATGGTTTCTTGTGCGCTGCGTTCAGGAATTCCAAATGTTGATGAGGATGCATGTCTTCTGAAAACTCCATGAGATAACTTGGCGTGTGGGCTTCAAAGCTTATGCTGCTGTGCTAGATGCAGGGTGAACATCCACATGTATACACTTCAGAATTAGTGCTGGTGTTTGGAGGAAACTACTTTGTTTAGTACAGCTGTCTG